GCGACCTTTGTTTGCTCCGTCATGGCCTTTGTTCATCCTCCGCCGTCTCCGCGTTTGCAACGCCACTGGTTCACTATCAGCTTTCGCCCCGAGTTCTGACTCACGACTCACCTATGCTTCTTCCTGCTCTGATCGCGAACGTCGCCTGCTTGTCGCTCTGTGGCCTGTCCGTTGCTTGTTTTGTCTTTTTCTCGCAGATACATCGATGATGGGTCCATATGAGCCCTACCACAGCCAGATAGCTCTCTCCCTGAGTTCAGACTGAACCATGATGCGTTTGCTTGCTTTGTCTTTTCTCTCGCAGATACATCGATGATGGCTCCATTGGTAACCTACCAGACATTGTCACGCAGTTCACTGCTCTCACATACCTGTAAGTTGTCTGCTTAATTTGTGAAGTGCAGTGCGGTTCGGTCGAATGCAGTGCAGAGCGGCTCAAAAGCTGATGATGGCTCCATAGGAGCCCTCCCAGACATTGTCACGCAGTTCACCGCTCTCACATACCTGTGAGTTGTCCCCACGTCCCCCTTTCCCTCCATCATGCTACTTCAATCCTCTCCCCCGATGCCTACTGTCCCCATTCCTGCTGCCATTTGCGCTCGCAGCCATTTGAATTTCTTTCGGTATTTCAATCCCCTCCCCCCATGCCTACTGTCCCCAATTTAATTGTACAATCGCTTCAACCCGCCTTCCTCTTTCTGTCCAACCCCTCGCTCACCTTGAATCTCTATACCCTCTCAGGAGCGTCACTCGATCCAAGGTACCTACCACCATCGAGGAGAAGATCTCGGCTATCAAGACAATGACTCAGCTGCGATACCTGTGCGTCCACCCAAAGCATTCCCGCATACTCCACCGCACTGAATTGCCTTCCACCGAACCGCACTGCACTTCACATCCTAAGCATGAATCTCCAAACGGCCCCTCCCAGCTCTTGTCCGCATCTCAGACTCAGAAGACGTCCCTGGCTCCTTTCCCCTGTCACCTGCCTACCACGTACCTGCTTCGAGGCGCCTCAAAACTAGACACTTCACATCCTAAGCATGAATCTCCAACCGGCCCCTCCCAGCTCTCGTCCGCATCTCAGACTCAAGACGTACCTGACTGTTTCTTCCCTGTCACCTGCCTACCACGAACCTGTTTCCCCTTCTCTCATCCGTCTCCCACAGGAGTCTTGGGTCCAACTGGTTCTACTCCTCCATTCCCGAGTGCTGAGGCATCTCAAGAATCCCCTCTCCCTGCTCGCCTCTGTTTCTACTCTTGTTTTCCATGCACCTGTTTCCCCTCCTCTCATCTGTCTCTCCCAGGAGTCTCGGCTCCAACTGGTTCTACTCCTCCATCCCCGCATGGCTCGTGCAGCTGCCGCAACTGCGTTACCTGTACGTGTTCACAGAGCAACAGCAGTGGTACAGGGTAACCAGGTAACAACCACCTTCTCAAGGTCTTCTCATTCCATCCCTGACTGGCTCGTCCAGCTGCCCTAGCTCCGCTATGCGTGTATCATCGCTCCGCTATCCACACGCCTCATCCCCCCCCATCATCGCACCACTCAGTTCCTTCGAGCTGCGTGTATCACCGCTCCAGCCACCTGCCCTACAGCTTCCTGACAGGTCCTATCCCGCCCATCACAGCCCCCCTCAGCTCATTCAACGTCACCAGCAACCTCCTCTCCCTCGCTCTCCCTTCTCACCCTCGCTTCTCATCCCCCCCTTCTCCCCTTCCCCCTCCCTTTCCTTCCCCTCTCCCTCCCACTCACCTCCCCTTTGTTCCTCCAGCCACCTGCCCTACAACTTCCTGACAGGCCCCATCCCCCCCATCACCGCGCCGCTCAGTTCATTCGACATCACCAGCAACCTCCTCTCCGGAACCTTCCCCCGCGCACACCCCCCATCAAAGCCTGCCTCTCTGCGGGGTGACTCTTGAGTCACCTCCAACATCTCCTTCCATGAAACCTTCAGCCCTCGATTCAACCAGCAACCTTATTTCCTTTGCCCTCTCCTCTCCCTCTCCCTCCTCCCTCGTCCCCACCCCCCTCCCCCTCCCCTTCCCCAGCCTCCTGCCCAACAACTTCCTCACAGGCCCCATACCGCCCATCACCGCACCGTACCTGAGCACATTCGACGTCACCAGCAACCTCCTCTCTGGAACCTTCCCCCTCCGCAAAACGCCCATAAAAACGTGCCTCGCCGCGGGAAACTGCCTGGGAGATGCGTCGGCGTGCGCAGTGGGAGCGGGGCAGCAGCGGGCGGACGTGGGGGATGCGTACTGTGGGGTGGTGGTGGGGGACTTGTGCCGGCCTGTGCCGGAAGCAGGGCAAAGCTGGAACGATCAAGTGGCGCTGCGATGCTCCTCCTGTAAGTTTGTGTTTCCCAGTGGTTGGGCTACTGGGGTGAGGGGAGTGGAGGTAAGGGTGGGCGGATGTGGGGGACGGGTACTGTGAGGCGGTGGTGGGGGATGTTTGCCGCCCAGCGCTGGAAGCAGGAGAGGCGTGGCAGGACCAGGTGTCACTGCGGTGCTCCTCAGGGATGAGCCTGATATAACTCCTGAATGCATTTCGAGATTCACTCAAAACCCACTCTGCACTGTGCCTTGCCGCGTCTCTTTGTGCCCCTCTCTTTGTCCCTTTCCCCCCTTCCCCTCTCTTTGCCCCTTTCCCCTCTTCCCCTACCAGCGAGTGTCATGTCCTCCACTGATGCAATGGAACCTCTGGTAAATGAACCTGAAGAGTTGGAGCAGACCAAATGCCCTCAGGAATCACCTCTGCACTGTACTTTGCCTGGCGTCACTGTTCTCCCTCCCACTCCTTTTCACCCCTTCCCACCCCTTTTCACCCCTTCCCCCCCATTTCCACCCCTCCCCCTACCAGCGAGCGTCATGTCCTCCACTGATTCAATGGAACCTCTTGTGGATGCAGACCTATTCTACTGTGTCTCACCTTGCTGCACTCCCTCTCTACCTCTTCCCATCCCTTCCCACCGCTTCCCCAACCAGCGAGCGTCATGTCCTCCACTGATTCAATGGAACCTCTCGTGGAAGAACCTGCAACCCCAGTGGATGCACCTGAAGAGGTGGAACAGTCCAAGGCTCCTGAGGACGCCCCTATGACAGGCACATCCGTTACAGACACATCTGACGGCACATCAGACGAAACAATTGACAATACATCCGGAGGAAACACTGATGGTTCTTCTACAGACAGCAGCACCGGAACACCAGTGGATCAGAAATTCATTCAGCCGGTGAAGGGGAAGGGGGGTAAGGATAAGAAGAAGGGCAGCGGGGTGTGTTCGTGCAAGAAGAGTGCGTGCAAGGCGAGTGAGATTTGTGTGAATATGTCCGTGGGCAAACGGTGTAATGTCAAGTGTGTAAAGAAAATGTTCAAGGTGAAGTAGCTGTAGTTTGTAAGGTTTTACTGGGGTTTTGGGCATATTTTTTTAATGCATGGGAATGTGTTTGGATGGGACACTGATTAAACAGATGTACTATATTTCTTATGTTGTAATTATCGCTATTCCTTGGAACATCTGGTACTTGTAACGCTCATAATGTTGCAATTCATACATAGGAAGGGTGTACCATGTTGCTTGAATTATGATTCATACAAATGATGGGCGAATGACCAGCGAACCTGCACTTGCATAACTCCTGTGTTGATTTGTGCACCTTGTTATCGCGTACGCAAAACCAGAACCGAAGGCTACCCCTCCGCGTGCTTCCAGCATCCCAGCAGTTGTCAAGTTATCTCGGAATCTCGTTTCACCTCGCCTTCGTTTCCGCTAGGCTGATCGCCAGAATGAGCTTTATAACCCGAGCCGCCTCGCTCCCATACCCACAGAGCGTCACTCACTTCCCATACGATTCGAGCGCGGCCGTCGCGTCAAAATCTCCTGTCTATTCGCTTTCGAACTCGCTTCCTCGCTCATCCGTTAAACCATTGCAATGCGGCTCGCTGGTTCGTACTAGACACATATCCTCCCAGCCTGTAGTTTCGCGCCGCTCACGGCGTAATTCGCGGTTAATGGCGACTAGAAGTAGCATTGAAGGCAAAGGGGACGAGGATCAGGCGGAGGAGCGATCAGGATCGGACGGCTCACAGAGCCTCGCGACCCGGATCCTTCATTATAAAGGCGCGGATTTCGACCCCTACGGGGCCGTCAGCACTCCGATCTACCAAACGGCGACATTTCGTCAGGTCTTTATTCAATGCAGTCTCAATGGGATTCATTCCTTAGCGATTATACTAGAAAACTCAGAAGTCGGCATATCAGGATACACGTCCCCGTTGTCTTCCAAACGGCTAGATTGCGACAAAGCTAGGGGTAGACTCGGGAAACCGGGGTTTGAAAGAACAGAGCTAGGGGATCGATCGCCCAATGCGCATTGGCAGTTCCACCCATAAGGCAGTGGCATGGGAGTTGAACATTTGAAGACAAGCTTGGGGTAGTGGGGGGAAACGGGGTGGGGAAGAACAGAGACAGAGCGGTTGGGAAATCGATCGCCAAATGCGCATGGAAACTCGACACACAGATTATATCCAGCTTCAAGCTCAGCATAAAGAGTACTAGGTCGCGTTTTGAGGCGTCGCAAAAGATATTGGTAGTTAGACACAGTTTGCCCCCAGTTATAGCGATAAAACCCGCGGAATTCGACCTCAGGGGCGCAGTGTTATGGGAGTTGAAAATTAAATACTATGTGGCTTCGTGTTTGCGATATATAAAACGATAGGATTCATGCTGCAAGCACATAATCCTTTTTCATCGGAATTCGGACCAATTTTCCAGCCGAATTATTCACATTTTTTTTATCCGGATCTCTCTCCCTGTTGGCAATGACAGGTTTCTGCGACAGAGAACAACGCATACGATTACACCCGCAGTGGTAACCCTACGCGAGATTCTCTCGAGAAGTGAGTGTGAAGTGAGTGGGAAGTGTGTGTGAAGCGAGTTTGAAACGATGAGACGTTTGGGAGGGAAAACAGGAGAACAATTCTTCTCTTAGCAATGCTCAACATCACCACTCTATTTTTTCCAAAACGTCACCTCTCGCCACCAACATCTCCCCCAGTTTTCCCAACCGTGCGTTAGCCTTTTGAATCAACGTACGCTGCTTATTCTTCTTGCCTGCCGCTTCTCCCACGTTTCTCCCTTCCTGCAGGCTACTAGCAGAGGTGGAGGGGGCGCATCGTGCCTTTGCCTTCAGCACCGGCATGGCGGCACTTGCTGCAGCCACCAGGCTGGTTACCACCGGTGAGACCTCATTACCACCGGTGCGATTTGTTACCACCAGCGAGATCTCCTTATCACTGGTTATATTTCGTTACCACTGCTGCGATTTCACCCCCTATCTCTGACATTTCACAAGGGACTTTTGGGACCCTCCATAGTAGCAGGTGACGACATTTATGGCGGCACAGACCGGCTGCTGTCAAGAGAGGGCTGATAGCAGCCCCTTCCTCCCTGCCTGCCCCTCGTGTCCCCCCTCCCTCCACACGGCAACCCCCTTCCTTTCAGGTTCCTCCCTTGTAGCAGCGGGTGACGACATTTACAGAGGCACAGATTAGCGAGTGGGACGAGACGCTGTCAATCATGCTTCCACCCCCCATTCCCCTCCCCAAACCCTTCCCACCCGTATGCTACCCCTTCCTTCAGGTTCCTCCATTGTGGGGTGACGACATTTACAGAGGCACGGACCGGCTGCTGTCAAGAGAGGGATGAGACACTGTCGATCATGCTTTTCCCCCCATTCCCCTCCAGAAACCCTTCCCTCCCCCACCTGTATACCCTTTCCCTTTCCTCCATTGTAGCGGGTGACGACATTTACGGAGGCACAGATCGGCTGCTGTTAAGAGAGGGCTGCTGCTGATACCAGCCCGTCCCTCTCTGCCTGCCCCTTGTGTCCCCCCTCCCTCCACACGGCAACCCCCCTCTTCCCCTTTCAGGTTCCTCTATAGTGGCAGGGGACGACATTTACGGAGGCACAGATCGGCTGCTGTCAAGAGTGGTGCCTCGTGCAGGTGTTGCTGTCAGGTGGGTCTTCTGGTGCTGTCAGGTGGATTTTCTGTTGCTGTCAGGTGGGTGTTCTGTTGCCCTCAGTTGGGTCTGCTGTTGCTGTCAGGTGGGTGTTTTGATGTTTTCAGGTGGGCCCACTGCTGCTTCCAGGTGATTTTTGAGTCGACTCAAAATTCTCTTTGTTGCTCTCTGGCTGAGTTTCCACTCTTCCGCCGTACTCCCTCCCCCTAGGCGGGTGGACACTACGGACCTGGCAGCAGTGGGGGCGGCAGTTCAGGCAGACACAAAGCGGGTCGTCATGGAGAGAGAGCCCCACCAACCCCCTTTCGTTCGTGCCTCATTTTCCTCACCATCCCTCCCTCTCCCTTCTCTTCCCCCACTAGACGTGTGGACGGACACTGCTGACTAAGAAGCAGTGAGGGCGGCAGTGCAGGCAGGCAGACACCAAGCTGGTCGTCATGGAAAGCCCCACCAAGCCCTCTTCATCCATCCCTCCCTCCCACTTTCCCTTCAGGCGGGTGGACTCAACGGACCTAGAAGCAGTGAGGGCGGCAGTGCGAGAAGACACCAAGCTGGCCGTCATGGAGAGTTGCGGGCAGCCCCTACCAGTGCCTCACTTCCCTCGTTATGTCTTCCTCTCTCTGCTCCCTTCCTCCCCATCAGGCGGGTCGACACAACGGACTTAGAAGCAGTGAGGGCGGCAGTGCAGGCAGACAGCAAGCTGGTCGTCATGGAAAGCCCCACCAACCCTCTCTTCTTTTTCCTCCGCCTCTCTCCTATCCTACCTTCCCTCTCTCCGTCCCTTCCCCAATAGGCGGGTCGACACAACGGACCTAGAAGCAGTGAGGGCGGCAGTGCAGGCAGACACCAAGCTGGTCGTCATGGAAAGCCCCACTAACCCCCGCATGATGATCAGCGATATCAGGGTGAGTCACCGCACTGCACCGCTCTTCACTACATTGCACCTCTTTGCACTATGTTGCACCTTAAATGCACTGCACCGCACTATGCCCCTCTACTACCCCTGTTTCCACGCCCCCAACCTATAACCCTCTCTCTGCTCGTCTGCTGGTGCTCATAAAGGGCCACACCAATCCCCGCATGATGATCAGCAATATCAGGGTGAGTCACGCACCGCACTGCACTGTGCTGCACCTTTCTTCCCCCTCTCACCAGCACTGATCATGGTTGGTCGATAGCAGCGGGCTTTTTGAAAATTTCTCAAAACCCGCCTGCACTCGCCTCCCTTTCTCCCGTCATCTCTTCCTCCGTCACATGTAATAGCAGACGCAGCTCACTTAGTGGGTGTGCTGCTACTGGTCGACAGCAGCATTATGTCTCCCGTGCTGTCAAAGCCGCTGCAGCTAATAGCAGTGCCACCCTCTCTCCTCGATCCCTCCCTTGCAGGCAATTGCAAAGATAGACCATTCAGTGGGGGCGCGCTGTCTGGTAGACAACAGCATCATGTCTCCCGTGCTGTCGAAGCCGCTACAGCTGAAAGCGGTGCCACCCTCTCTTTTCTATCCCTCCCTTGCAGGCAATTGCTGAGATCGCCCATTCTGTCGGTGCATTGTTACTGGTAGACAACAGCATCATGTCTCCCGTGCTGTCAAAGCCGCTGCAGCTGAGCCGATAATATCAAAATTTTCTTTTTTCTTGGTTCTCTTCCTCCAGGCTATAGCGGACATAGCCCACTCAGTGGGCGCGCTGCTACTGGTAGACAACAGCATCATGTCTCCGGTGCTGTCGAAGCCGCTGCAGCTGGGAGCAGACATTGTGATGCACAGCGGCACCAAGTTCATCAGTGGACATAGCGACGTGATGGCCGGCATTCTGGCTGTGAATGACCCAGAGTGAGTGCTGGAGACACATCTACACACATGCACGCACACTCTCCCAGACCCACACAACCACCAGTGTCTCTCCCATTGCAGCTGGGAGCAGACATTGTGATGCACAGTGGCACCAAGTTCATCAGTGGGCATGGTGACGTGACGGCTGGGATACTGGCTGTCAATGACCCAGAGTGAGTGAGTGAGTGTATATGTAGGGCGTCCCTGCACGCATACCTGCACTCATATGCACACTTTTCCAGGTTTACGAAAGCCGCTGCAGCTGGGAGCAGATATGTGATGCGCAGCGGTACCAAGTTCATCAGTGGGCATGGTGACGTGATGGCTGGGATACTGGCTGTCAATGACCCAGAGTGAGTGAGTGAGTGTATATGTAGGGCGTCCCTGCACGCATACCTGCACTCATATGCACACTTTTCCAGGTTTACGAAAGCCGCTGCAGCTGGGAGCAGATATGTGATGCGCAGCGGTACCAAGTTCATCAGTGGGCATGGTGACGTGATGGCTGGGATACTGGCTGTCAATGACCCAGAGTGAGTGAGTGAGTGAGTGTATATGTAGGGCGTCCCTGCACGCATACCTGCACTCATATGCACACTTTTCCAGGTTTACGAAAGCCGCTGCAGCTGGGAGCAGACATTGTGATGCACAGCGGTACCAGGTTCATCAGTGGGCATAGCGACGTGATGGCTGGGATACTGGCTGTGAATGGCCCAGAGTGAGTGCTGGAGACACGTGCGCCACACATGCACGCACACTCTCCCACGCCCACACAACCACCAGCCTCTCTCCTATTGCAGCTGGGAGCAGACATTGTGATGCACCAAGTTCATCGCGGGCACAGCGACGTGATGGCTGGGATACTGGCCGTGAATGACCCCGAGTGAGTGCCGGAGACACGTGCACACCCACATGCACGCACATTCACCCACACCCACACACCCACACGGCCCCACTCCTCGCTGCAGCTGGGAGCAGGCATTGTGATGCACAGCGGCACCAAGTTCATCAGCAGACACAGCAATGCCATGGATGGTGTGCGGGCTAAGCCCCTTTAAGGATTGCTCCTTGATAGCGATTTTTGAGAACTCTCAATAAACCGCTGGTGTGCGGGCTGAGCCTCTTTGGAGAGCTTTCCTACCCCTGGCGCCAGCTCCTTTGAGAATTCTCAAAAGCAGCTCCCGTTTCCCCTTTCCTTCCTTCTTTCCCTTCTTCCCCCTTCCACCCCAGCCTGGCTAAAGAGATCTACTTTGTGCAGAACGCAGAGGGGCCAGGGCTGAGCCCCTTTGGAGATCTCTTCCAGCCATTATTAGACTACGACCAGCCAAGTCACCCTCCATTCCGTGCTTCCTTTCCCTCCACCCGCTCTCCCCCCAGCCTGGCTAAAGAGATCTACTTTGTGCAGAATGCAGAGGGGTCAGGGCTGAGCCCCTTTGACTGCTGGGTGTGCCTTCGGGGAATCAAAACCATGCCACTGCGACTGGAGAGGCAGCAGGTATGGGTAAACGTGTGTATTTGTGTGGGATGAGGAGTGTGTATGTGTTTGTGAGTGTGTTTGTGTTATCTTAGGTACTTTTGAGCGGATCAAAACAGCCATCGTCTCACCCTTGCATACTGCTGCTGCTTTTCGCCCATGCATGCTGCCACTTCTTCTCACACTCGCATGCTGATGCTTATGTGCAGGCCAATGCACAGAGAATAGCCGAGTTCCTGAACAGTCACCCGCGGGTGGAAAGAGTGTTCTACACCTCTCCCCATTCCACATGGTCACTTTTTTTTACTGTCTGAACTCAAGCATGACTGTCTTTCACTGTCTTGTACCTGTGTGCAGGCGAATGCACAGAGAATAGCCGAGTTCCTGAACAGTCACCCGCGAGTGGAAAGAGTGTTCTACGCCGGTCTGCCCTCCCATACCAACCGAGAGCTGCATTACTCCCAGGTGCTTTCCCAGCCTAGACCAGTCAAACCCATGGTTCACGGTCAAACCCTCTCTCATGCAGTGCAACACGGGAGGTGCTGCACCTTTCAAATTTTCCCAGGTGCTGCTCCCTCAGATGACTTTCTTGCTGTTGTCTTTAGAGTTTTTCGTAAGTACTTCTTCTTCCAGGTCTTCTTCCAGCTGTTTCTTTTGGTTCGTGTGCATCCTTCAAGTTTTGGCTCTAAGTGCCTCTCTGATTGTTGTTTTTCTTTTTCTTTCTTTCTTTTTCTTTTTTTTTTTTGCTTTTTTTTTTTTACTCCCTGCTTCCTATGATCAATTTTCTTCACATTTGATTTTTCCCAATCTATCTATTTATTGACAACAATCTTTTCCTGTTTCCATCAGGCCAAAGGTGCAGGGTCAGTGCTCAGTTTCACGACAGGTGACATCGACGCATCGAAGCACATTGTTGAGACAATGAAGCTTGCTAACATTGCTGTCAGCTTTGGTAAGATTGCTGCGAGCAGTGCTGGTTGGGATGAGAGTAGTGGTGGGTGGGACAAGAGCAGTGTTGGGTGGGTGGGATGAGAGCAGTGTTGGATGGGATTGGAGCAGTCTTCATCAGGCCAAGGATGCGGGGTCAGGCTGAGTTTCACAACGGGAAACATCAACGCGTCAAAGCACATCCTTGAAACGATGAAGCTTGCTAACATGTTGTCAGCTTTGGTACGATAAGCAGTTCCAGGTGAGGGTTCTGCATGGCTGCACTAACGTCCGCGTTCCCCTATCTTTGGTTTCTCCATTCACTATTTTATATATCTTTGCACATACTTTTTTCATGAGCCTTTCTTGCTTCCCGTTTCCGGGAGGATTGACTTTGTCACATAACGAACACCAGAAGGGGAAAAAGCCGCACTTGCTGAGTCGTATAAGTTTATTAATGCGAGTACATATCGCTGCCTGTTACATGTTACGTTGTAACAGGTAGCGATATGTACTCGCGTTAATAAACTTAGACGGATCAGCAAGTGCGGTTTTTTCCCCTTTTGGTGTTCGATATGTGAGGAAGCCAATCCCCCTGAAACGTGAATTAAGCAAGGCTCATGAAAATAGTACGTGCAAAGTTATGTAAAATGGTGAATGAAAAACGAAAGATAAGGTAACGCGGAAGTTAGTTCAAGCATGCAGAACCTTTACTTGTATTTGCATGTGTCTTTATAAAAAAGCGCAGTGTTTGATGCCATTGTTTCTTCTTGTAACTGAACATAGGACTGCGTGGTGATTGCATTGAATCGCGACTGTTCTTTCATATCTTCACACTGTGACTATTTCGCATGTGTGATTGTACCGCACGATGGTGTGTGACCATAACCATGGGGCTTGCAGGCAGTGTGGCGACGTCTATCAGCCTGCCGTGCTTCATGTCGCATGCCAGCATACCAGCAGATGTGCGCAAGGAAAGAGGCCTTGTCGAAGACCTCATTCGCCTCTCTGTAAGCATCCCCTTCCTCCCACTTCCAAGTGAAAGGACTGTGTTTTGAGATGTTCAAAGCACCCCAGCAGATGTGCGCAACGAGCGAGGCCGCGTGGAAGACCTCATTTGCCTCTCTGTAATCATGGCCCTTCCTTTCAAACTCCACGTTAAATAGCTTTGCTTCGAGGCGCCTTAAGTGTACCAGCTGAAACGCAAGGAGCAAGGTCTTATGAAGGAACCTATTCGTCTCTCCATAAGCATGCCCACTCTCTAACCGTTCCCTTATATTCTTTTGCCTTCTCCCCAACTGTAGATTGCTGCCTCATCGCCATTCTGATTTTGAATGCATCTAAAACCATGCGATTTGATTATTCTCTCCCTGTTTTGTGACAGGTGGGAGTTGAGGACGTGGATGACCTTATTGCCGACCTGGGGAATGCCATAGACACAGCTCCTTTCTCTCAATAACAGATATGAGCAATTGGAAGCAAGTGCACAACATTTTTACTCGTTGACATGATGAATAAATGTGCACCACCGAATTATCATGCATTCTGATTGCATGGCATGTAAGAGTTCTTTCTCTTAGGATTAGGAAAGGCTTCTATTGGAATTATACGAATCAATCATCAGTACATATCGTGGTTAGATGTAATGTAATTTCTACATAATTTCGCTACAGCTGGCAATAAAAGGTCATCCCCATGTAAGCCAATCGCTCCGCTTTGATGATGTCAGTGGCGTGGGCTGATGGTCCGACGAATCTTCCGTTTCGTTTTGCGGCGGGAACGGCTCGAGCTATGGGTTTCGGTTTGGAGTGTCTTGCCGCGGCAAACCTCGAGGGGGCGGACAACAGAATGCAAACACCTTTTCAACTTTCTCCATTCCTTTAAAGAACTCCTAACCGCAATTCACCGTACCAAAACAGAGCACCTTGTGCTTTGGCTTCCTGATCACGTCAGAGCAGCACCCCCCCCAGCAGCAAGCAGACACAGAGCACCCCACAGGAGTAAACAGGGAGCAGAATTTGTGGGAGTACTAATTTGGCCGGCCTTTTTGGTTTCCATCCACAATAGACCTAGCTCCAGCAAGTTACCTACGAGCCTTCGTCATTGTTTCGGAAAAGTGGGTTTGCAATGGTTCTTGTGGGTGTTGTCTAAACCGCGTTATTTGGTTACCCTAGTCGTGTGAGCACAGCGTTTAACATTTTTTCGTTTTTCTTATTCTCACAAAGACCGGTTTATAGCATGCGAACGCGGCTTCACAGTCAATTTCAACTTCATTGCTGCTCATGGAGGATTTTTTAGAAGGGATCTGGCCGCACCTCTTCCCGTCCTGGTTCGAAGCATTTACCGCGTTAATAGCCGCCTCGTTTGTAGCCTTTCTCCTATATCTCACCCAACCCGAAGGCAGCGGGGAGAATCCCTCCCCAGACGACTCTTCGGCCGCGTCTGCCGGGAAAACCGGCGTGAATGGCGCGGAGGAAGAAGAGGAAGGGAACTGGGAGGAGGCGAGCCGACGTGTCAGGGAGCAGCAAGCTCGCGCGTTACTCGAGGCGCCAGATCCGCTCACCGCCGCTCTCGCAATCCCGGTGCGCCAGCTGGCAGCCGTGGATTCGAAGAGAATGGCGGCGGTTCCGGTGACCGCGCAGCCGTTGCTAGGGCTGAGTTCTAAGGAGGTAGTTAAAAAGGGGATCGGGTCTAGAACGCGGCCCAGGCAGGATATTATGCAGTTAGCCGTGGCCTCAGGGGTGGGGGGAGCCGTGGGAGGAGGGAAAGGGGGGGTGGATGCGGGACTTGTAGGAGGAAAGGGAGGGATGGAAGGAGGGAAGAGAGGGGGGGATGGGAGAGGTGCGAGTGGGCCTTTAGCTGCTTCGAGTAGGGCTGCTGCTGGTGCTGTTGCGGCTGTATCGGGTGGGAACATCCAGGAGGAAACGCTTATACCTGTGGTGAGTCTGCCAATAGCGAGGAGCAATCTTTATTCTATCCCGTGCCACGCTGTCCTCTTCTCTCCCCCAGGCATGCCTTTTCCTCCTCTCCACTCTGTCTTTTGAGTTGTTGTCTTCTTTTGTTTATTTTCTAAATGCGTTTGGTGCGTTCTGGCACTGGCCGTGGTGCAGGTATAGCTGTAAGCTGAGTTGCATGATTTATCTCCAAAATTATCTCTACCCCAACCAATCCAAATCCCTTCTCATCCCCCCACACCCTTGCCTCCCCAAAAAACCCCGGAATATCATCCCTCCTCTCCCCACATCCCCCCCTCTCCACTCCCCCCACCCCCGGCGATCCCCCAGGCCATAATCCCCAGCCAGTCCCTGTCATGCGCGGACACCCTTCCCCCTGCGCCAGTCCCCCTTAGCGCAGCAGTCTCCGCTGCCCCCGCTTCCGCCACTGCAGGCGCGGATGGGGAGGGGGAAAGACACCTGTCCCCACTGATTAAAGGTGCTGCTGCTGCTGGCGACATAATCAACGGCCCAGATTTGATCATTGGTGGAACTCCTGAGAGGGGAACAGAGAAGGGGAGGCGGCCAGAGGGGATCCAACGGTCAGCGTCGGACACTGCAGCGATCTCAGCCGGATCAACGGCTGGTGGCGCTGCGTTTGCTGCTGGAAGAACAGGGGGAGGCGCAGGGGGAGGAGCAGGGGGAGGAGCAGGGGGAGAAGCAGGGGGAGGGGGGATTGGAGGAGTGGGTACGAAGGTGGAAGCGGCTGCAGAAAGGGCTGTGTCGCCAGTGGCGCCTCAACCCATGATATACGAAGTGAAAGTGAGTTCTCTAGTGGAAGTGAGCTTTGAATTGGAAGTGAGTTTCCAGGACTGTTTTTGAGTGAAATGAAAGTGATTTTTTTTTTTTTTTTTTTGTTTCTCAACCCTGTTCTCTCCACCTCCTGAACATCGATCTGCTAGCAGCCAAGAACCTGCCGGCTGCAATATCAGCGGCACTGCGGGGATCTTGCATCCCTCATCTCTCAATACCAAACCTCCTGTTCCCTTCCGCCTCCCCCTCCCCCTCCCAAAGGTTGATCTGCTAGCGGCCAAGAACCTGCCGGCTGCAAATATTAGCGGCACAGCGGATCCCTATGCCATCGTGTCTTGTGGCCCAGAGCGGAGATTCAGGTGTGTGTGATGTGGTGCATGCATGGACGTGAGAGCAGTGTGTGTGTGTGCATGCGTGTCCGCATGGGAGTGTCTTGATGGCGAACACTAACCTGCCGGCTGCAAATATTAGCGGCACAGCGGATCCCTATGCCATCGTGTCTTGTGGCACAGAGCGGAGATTTAGGTGCGATGCATGCATGCGCGAGCGAGTGTGTGTGTGTGTGTGTGTGTGTGTGTGTGTGTGTGTGTGTGTGTGTGTGGGTGTGGGTGTGATGCCTGTGTGAATTAGTGGCATTCAGTGCTTGCGCTTTTCGGATCGTTCCATGTTTCGTCCTCCATACGCTTGAGTTCTACCTTCGCCTTTCTTTGCATACCTCTCTCCATCTACCTACTTTCCCCTCACGGCCCGCACCAGCTTCCACATCCCCCAGCTCCCGCAAAATTCTCAGGCTTACGAGTTTGGGCGGCGGAGGTTTGCGTTTCTGTTCTGTTCCATGGCCCCATCACCTTCCCCCTTCCCATCCCTCTGTCCTACCCTTCTGCCCCCCACCAGTTCTGTCATCCCCAGCTCCCGCAATCCCATGTGGGCGGAGGAGTTTCGCTTCTTTGCCCCCTGCCTGCCCGTGCTGGTGAGTCCTCTGGCCTGTATTCGTGTGTTGAGACACACTCAAAACCAGTTCATTTGTGCCTCCCAACTTTCGCTGTGACTCAAATTGCCTGCTTTGGTGAGCCCTGTGCCATGCACACGTTCATGTATGCGATTTCCCACGCAGGTATCAGTGCGCACGTACGATTGGGACATCATATCAAGAACGCACAGCTCGGAGCAGCCTCTAGTCATGGGTTCGATGTGTTTCTGTGTGTGTTCGTGCACGCATGTGTGGTCCCACCACGCAGGTATCAGTGCGCACGTACGATTGGGACATCATATCGAAGAACACAGAGCTCGGAGCAGCTTCTTTGCTAGTCGAAGGAGTGGCTTTGCCTTTTACTGCTTGGTACCCCCTTGACAAGGGACTGGGGCAGGTGAGCGGAGATTCTAGTTGACAAGGGACCGGGCGTTTTTTTTCCCAGCGCACACGCGCGCGCGCACGCGCGCGCGAGCGCGCGCGCGCGTGTGTGTGTGCGTGCGTGTGTGTGTGTGTGTTTGTTTGTTTGTTTGTTTTGTGTGTGTGTGAGTGTGTGTGTGTGTGTGTGTGTGTGTGTGTGTTTTCCAGGCGTTTTCCTGGCATTCTTCAGGTGTCTCTGATGTTCCCCTATTTTCCTTCTGTCCTTCTTTCCTTCTTGCAGGTATGCTTGCAGCTGCAGGTGACAGCAGTACCAAGGAATAAAGCGGACAGGTACGTCAGCCTCTCTGTTGCGCTCCACCCGCTCTGCTTGTGCTAACACAACTCCATCAGTCTCACTGCTGCGGATTTCCCTTTCTTTCGGTGTGTGCTATTCGCTACTAAGAATCGTCAAAAGCGAATTTCCCTCCTAACCGCAATTTTCCGCTCCTCGTCACGTACGCTGCATGCATCCGACTGTGCCTCTCCTGCCTGCATTCCTTGCTGCTGCTTCTAAAAAATCCTCAGATAATTATCAACCTCTGTGTCCAGCCCTCACACCAAACCCCCACCACTCCCCCCCGTTCTCCCCCCCCCCCCTCCACCACCGCCCTTTTCCCTCCCCATAATTTTCACCAACCCAACCATTTGCAGCATTGAGGTGAAAGGAGGCGCCATGGCCCCATCTCGCATGTGCCGCCTCTCCCAGCATCTTCCCCCTTATATCCCCATTCCCTTCCCGTAGCCGTCTCCCCTATCTCCACCCTTTTCACGCACCAATCCAACCATTTGCAGCGCCGAGGTGAAAGGAGGCGCCATAGCCTTATCCCGCCTGCGTCGTCTATCCCAACAGCCCACCGGCCCCGGTGGGGGCGAGAAGCAAGAGAGGAAAGACATTCAGTCTTCCGCCTTTACCCCCCTTTCACATCTTCCCGTGCAGCTCGGCAGCAAAGGGAGCCGCCATAAGTTCGTCCCACCTGCGCTGCCTCTCCCAACATCATCCCCGTTATTCCCTGCCCTCTTGTTATCCCCACCCTTCCCTCCCATTGAACTGCCGGCAGCACGGCAGCAAAAGGAGCGTCCATAAGTTCATCTCGCCTGCGCCGCCTCTCCCAGCAGCCCACGGGCACCGGTGCGGGCGAGGGAGGGGAGGTTATTGAAGGGGAGAGGCCCGAGCAGCAGCAGCAAGAGCAGGAAGCGGGGAGGGGAACAGAAGTGCGGTTAAAGCCGGGACCGTTGCAGACGATCTTCGGCCTGCCTCCAGACGAGGTGCGTGCGAGACCCTCAGGGCGAGATGAAAGAGGGAGTTGAGACATTGTTTGAGAGAGGTGTGAGCAGAAGCAGCAGGAGGCAGGGAGGGGGACAGAAGTGTGGTTGAAACCAGGGCTGCTACAGATGATTATTGGGCTGCCTCCAAATGAGGTGCGTGCGTGCGTGTGAGACACGAACAGCGAAGGGGCACAGAAGTGCAGTTCAAGCCAGGGCCTCTGCAGACGATCTTCGGGCTGCCTCCGGATGAGGTGCATGTGAGACAGGCAGTCAGAGAGCTCCGTGAGTCCCTCCAATTCTCTGCTTTGCAGGTCGTCCGCCTCTCCTTCTCGTGTACGCTTGAGCACCCGTTCCTCTACCACGGCCTTATGTTCCTCTCGGGCACATCTGTGCTTTCACTCCAACGTCTCTTCCAAAGAATCTCTCCGTGTGCGTTACTTTTGTGCACTGCATGGCAGGTTATCCGGCATTCCTTCTCGTGTGCGCTGGAGCGCTCCTTTCTGTACCACGGCCGCATGTTCCTTTCAGGGGCGCACCTCTGCTTCCACTCCAACGTCTTTTCCAAGGAGCTCTCCGTGTGCATTCCGTACCAAGACATTGAGGAGGTGAGGTTGAGGTGGTGATGTGGGCAAACTCTTTGAGATGTCTCATCACTCTGCTCTATGGTAACGTGTGTTCCGAGGAGCTGTTTGTGTCCATTCCGTACTAAGACATTGAGGAGGTGAGGTGGGCAGGTAGACAGATGTTTTGAGACGTCTTAACTCTCCTGCTGCTACTTCATCACGTCTCCAGGGGGCTGTCTGTGTGCATTCCCTCCCTGCCAAGACATTGAGGAGGCGAGGTGGACAAATGGAGGCGTTAGGAGCAATGTGTTGTTTAAGAGATTGGGAACGTCCTTAGCTTGGATTTGTGCTGTCATTCCAACGTTTTTTCCAAGGAGCTGCTTGTGTGTCTGTATGCATTCATTGAAAGGAGAGTGGTTGTGGATTTCATTAGGGACCTGCTCCCCTTCGTTGGTTTGGAAGGAAAACTTAATACCGTAACCCAGTACAATCACTTCCATGGAGAGCGTGTCGGCGAAAGAACTACAACGAGTGGTTTCAGTGTGCTTTGGTATGTATGCACCCTCCCTAAACTTGTAGGGAGGGTGCATACGTATCAGGTTTTTATTATCAATTGTGACACCCACTTGTGCTATCATTTTGCACAGCACACTGAAATCGCTCGCTATAGTTCTTTTGCCGACACGCTCTCTATGGAAGTTGTTGCCATATGTTACAGTATTCAGTTTTCTTTCCAAACCACCGAAGGAGAGCATATCCTTGATGGCATTCACACACCCACCCACATTTAGCGTTGTGCTGTCTGTCTGGGAGGTGAGGTGGGCAGCTGAGTGGAGAAAAACGCATCTGAAGTGTCGCGTTCTGCGTTCGAACGCTTGCGTTTGAACGCAAAACGCTGAACGCACAGGAAAACGCAGAACGCTTGGGAAACTTTTTTTCCGGTCAGCCCGAACGTCGTTTTTGCCAAAAATCAACCCCGCCCAACCCAAATCGACCCCTGAAAACCAGCCCTTCAACCATAATCCCAATCCCCCTCTAGTATTGTGGGAAAGAATATTATGTGGGGGAAAAAAATGCTCAAATCTGTGCTATGTCCTTCTCCCCCTCCTCCCAATGCCCTATTCGAAGGTTTTTTGTCTGCCCGGAAGGTTTTTTTACCCTGCCCGGCCCCGCGTTTTTTTAGCGTTTTCAGGACCCCCAAAAATGTGTTCTGCGTTTTAAACGCAGCGTTCAAACGCCAGCGTTTAAAACGCTGAACGCGTTTTTCTCCACACAGGTGGGCAGGGGTGACGAGCAATGTGTTTCAAGAAAGGAGTAGCTCACACTTGTGCTTCCATTCCAACGTATTTTTTTCAAGGAGCTGTCTTCTTCCATTCCATTCCCTTTCCTTTCCTTCCTGTTCCCATGCCCACGCCCACGCTCTAACCACCCCAGGTTCGGCGCAGCACGCATGCGCTGATCAACCCAGCCATGACGGTGGTGCTGCATCTGGGCACAGGGGGACACGGGGTGCCGCCATTGCCGAGTCCTGATGGTAAGCGTGTGTGGAGAGGCACATTAGCCATGACGTTAACCCATCACTGTCACATGCACGCATGCGCTGATCAACCCAGCCATGACGGTGGTGCTGCATCTGGGCACGGGGGGACACGGGGTGCCGCCATTGCCGAGTCCTGATGGTGAGCGCGTGTGTCAAGGCACATTAGCCCTGATGTTAACCTATTACTGTCAAAAGCACGCGTGCACTGATCAACCCAGCGATGACGGTGGTGCTGCATATGGGCACAGGGGAACACGGAGTTCCGCTTCTTCCCAGTCCTGATGGTGAGCCAGTATTACTTGCGCAGTAGCATTGCCTTGCTCGCAAGTTCCTCCATCCAGACACTGCGATGCAAGTGAAACACAAGTTTGCTCTGCGGAACGGAGGCCATGCCATGCGAATAATCGCAAGTTTGCAAGTTTGCTCTTGCTATGTCGTTGGTGGTCCTAATTCTTCTCATGCCCCCCCACGCCCTCTCCTTATTAGACCAAGCGAAACACAAGTTTGCATCGTTCTGGAACAGAGGTCATGCCATGCGCCTGCTGTCGCATCCCCCCCTCCCTACACTCCGCTCCCTACCCTCAGGCCGAGAGAAGTACAAGATTGCGTCGTTTAGGAATCGAGGCCATGCCATGCGCTTGCTGTTCCGTGGCTCCTCATACCCCTCTTTATTTCCCTCCTCATCCCCTCGCCCCCATCAGGCCGAGTGAAGTACAAGTTTGCATCGTTCTGGAACCGAGGCCATGCCATGCGCCTCTGTGCCTTGGCTCCTCATGCCCTTCCATCCCCCCTCCCATACCTGTTCTCCACTCACCCCTCACCTTGCCCCTACCATCAGGCCGCGTGAAGTACAAGTTTGCATCGTTCTGGAATCGAGGCCATGCCATGCGCCTGCTGCAGGAGGCGATTGCAGAGTTCTGGAAGACTGAAGAGGCAGCCGCTCTGGTAAGCATCTATCTTCTTGTACTCGCCCTTGGCTCTCCTTCCTTGTCGTAGCATGCAGGCATCGCCTGCTGCAGGAGGCGATTGCAGAGTTCTGGAAGACTGAAGAGGCAGCCGCTCTGGTACGCATCTTTGTGTACCCACTGTTGGCTCTCCTGCTTTATTATAGCATGCAGGCATCGCCTGCTGCAGGAGGCGATTGCCGAGTTCTGGAAGACTGAAGAGGCAGCCGCTCTGGTACGCATCTTTGTGCCACCAGCTCTCCTGCTTTGTTGTAGCATGGAGGCATCGCCTGCTGCAGCAGGCGATTGCAGTAGGCTGCTGCTTCGGTACGCACCTTTTCATACTTGCTATTGGCTCTCCTGCTACTCGGTACCAGCGCACCTGCTTCTTGGTAAGGCTGCTGCAGGAGGCGATTGCAGAGTTCCGGAAGACAGAGGAAGCAGCCGCCCTGGAACGCATCTTCGTGTCTCCAGCTCTCCTGCTTTGTCGTAGCATGGAGGCATCGCCTGCTGCAGCAGGCGATTGCAGTAGGCTACTGCTTTGGTACACACCTTTTTGTACTTGTTACTGGCTCTCCTGCTACTCGTTACCAGCGCTCCTGCTTCTTTGTATTGAGGTAAAGCTGCTGCAGGAGGCGATTGTCGAGCTCTGGAAGATGGAAAAAGTTCATTGCTTCTGCATCTGTGCTATATAGCAGAAGCAAAGTATGCTTGGTGTGCATCCTCATAGCTTCTGCTATATATACCTTGTTTGTACTCGCTGTCAACTCTTCTGATACTCGTTACCAGCTTCCTGCTTCTGTGCGTTGAAGTCTTTCCCTGCTGGAGGAGGTAATTGCAGAGTTTTGGAAACCAGAAACAAAACACAGCTGCCTTGGTTTGAACCTCTTTTTCTTCTGGTATATTTATATTGTTCCAACCCCCGTTGGCAGGAGGAGGAGCAGGATCGGTTACGGGCGATAAGCATGAGGGACGGGGCAGTGGATAGTTTGTCATCGAGAGGAGCGGCTTCGGAGGCGGCAGAGGAGGAGAAGGAGAAGCAACCCTTCCTTGACCTCACTGTGCTGGAGCACCTGCTGCAGGTGAGAGTGGTGCTACACTGCAGGTGAGACTTGCTCTTTTAGTCGAATCAACTTAAAAGGCACTTTGCTGCAGAGGAGGAGAAGGAGAAACAACCCTTCCTTGATCTCACTGTGCTGGAGCACCTGCTGCAGGTGAGAGTGGTGCTGCAACTTTTCTCGTCTTCTGATTCGCTCAGATCAGCATGATGGGTGGGGCAGTAGAAGGGGTCTCATCAAGAGGAGCAGCATCAGATGCGGCAGAGGAGGAAAAGGAGAAACAACCCTTCCTTGACCTCAATGCTGCAGGTGAGCCTTCCCTTCTTTGTTTCCGATGCGCAGCGCGCTCAGATTAGCATGAGGGATGGAGCAGTGGAAGGGTTGTCATGTCATTTAGAGGAGCGGCATCGGAGGTTGCAGAGGAGGAGAAGGAGAAGCAACCCTTCCTTGACCTCACCGTACTGGAGCACCTGCTGCAGGTGAGGTCTCTTGTCTTCTGATGTGCTCGGATCAGCGTGAGGGATGCAGCAGAGGAGGCAGCAGAGGAGAGGCATACGCAACCCTTCCTTAACCTCACTGTGCTGGAGCACCTGCTGCAGGTGAGAGCTGCTCGCGTTGCACGCTGCTGGTGCGGTTATCCATTCAGCCTCTCCTTGACCTCACTGTGCTGGAGCACCTGCTGCAGGTGAGAGCTGCTCGCGTTGCACGCTGCTGGTGCGGTTATCCATTCAGCCTCTCCTTGACCTCACTGTGCTGGAGCACCTGCTGCAGGTGAGAGCTGCTCGCGTTGCACGCTGCTGGTGCGGTTATCCATTCAGCCTCTCCTTGACCTCACTGTGCTGGAGCACCTGCTGCAGGTGAGAGCTGCTCGCGTTGCACGCTGCTGGTGCGGTTATCCATTCAGCCTCTCCTTGACCTCACTGTGCTGGAGCACCTGCTGCAGGTGAGAGCTGCTCGCGTTGCACGCTGCTGGTGCGGTTATCCATTCAGCCTCTCCTTGACCTCACTGTGCTGGAGCACCTGCTGCAGGTGAGCGTGGTGCTGCAGGCGAGCGCTATTCTTCTGCAGGTGAGTGCGCTATTCTTTCCGTGTTTCCGTGTTTCCGTTCTTCAGCCCTTACATTCTTTCCACTCTCCTCTCCGCCCTCCAGTTTTACGTGCCATGCACGACAGAAGCCTATGTTTAACCCTCTCTACTCTGATTCATCTGGCTCCCTTCCCTCTGCTTCTGTTCTTCCTTCCTTTCCCCCTCCTCCCCCCCCCCCTCCCCCGCCCCCCCCCCCTCTCCCCTCTCCGCCCCCCAGTTCTACATGCCCTGAACGGCATAAGCCCACGTTGATCTCCTTGTCTCGATTCTTCTGGCTCTCTCATCTGTGTTTCCCTCCTTCTTCCCTCCACCGTCCCTTCTCAGTTCGAGGTGCCTTGCACGGCAGAAGCCTATTTCAACCTCCTTTACTCCGATTCATCCGATTTTGTTGTGGTTTACCGAGCCAAGCGCAAGGACACGGAGCTGAAGGTGAGGCATGGGCCGAACGAAGCAAAGAGGGAGGCATGTGCCGCTACACCTGTTCCGAGTCGCCTCAGATACTCAAACCATGTTGTACCGAGCGAGACGCAAAGATACAGAGCCGAAGGTGAGCCTCGGGCCAAACGGGGCAAAAGATGAGGCATAGACTTCACCAACTCTATGTTTGAGGCGCCTCAAAAGGTGAGGCTTGGGCCAAACGAGGCAAAAGATGAGGTACGGTCTTTACCAACTCTACGAAGCACGTTTCATGTCTAAACTCTTGAAATTATAGAGTTTTCACAAACAACAGCTATATCATTTTTCTCTTGAAATGTCTCATGAGAGTTTCATGTGTGACCAATTAATGGAGCAGTGTTCCGTTATTGTTCTAGGCGTTGTTGCTCTTGGGTCTTGTTCAACTGTGATTAATGTTTCCTATACTTGTGTTGTGATTAATGTTCAAGGTTAATGCTTCGATTGCCTTGCTTTGCATGTTAGCTCCCTCTCATCCCACTTGCTTCCTCCCATCCCTCTCTCTCCCTTTATCTCTCTTGCCATGTAGGTTGGCGAGTGGAAGGAAACAGAGCAGTATGGAGGCAAGATGAGAGAGGTGAGCCAAGGGAGAAAAAGGTCCAAACATTCATGTGTGAATGCGAGCAAACAGTTTCTTGGTTCGGGGGAATAAGGGCACATAACGGTAGGAGGTTGAGAGGGGATTAGAAGAAGCATGAGTTCCTTGTTGTTCCCTGTCTCCCTTCCTCTCCCTGTCGTTCCCAGGTGACCTATTGCTCGCTCTGCGACTCCCCCATGTGCCCTCCCTCCACTGCCATGACCGAGTGGTTGTGGCTGTGGCGTAAGTGGCAGAACATGGCCTTTCCTAGTTTACCCCACGGGACCTCTCTTCCCACCCCTATCCGGCCCACTATTCCCCCAGGTGACCTACCGCTCGCTCTGCGACTCCCGGCCTTTCCTTGCTTACCCTACCTCTCTTCCCACCCCCACCCCTCCTCCCACTCCCCCAGGTGACCTACCGCTCTCTCTGCGACTCCCCCATGTGCCCACCCTCCACTGCCATGACTGAGTGGCAGCACATGGCCTTCGCTGCTCCGGACCACAAGCACCTGGTGCGTCAAGTTCCATTATTTTTCATATACACATTAGTATAGCAACCCAGCACATGCAAAGCACATGTTGTGAGTTGCAGTCTGGTTTCTCTGACTGACTGAACTGAAGCTGATTGTCATGTGGGGGTTGAGCAATACCCGTTGCACTGCTTTTCTTTTTACCATAGATTAGGGGGTGTTATCCTTGCATCCGTCACGTTTCTCCCATCTGGTTCTGAACCAATTCACTGACATTCCAGGTTCATAGCATCTGATGTGCTGTTGCCTGTATCTCTCTCATCTCGCACATTTCCAAACCCCCGCATGGCTTTCCACCAAACCAGGTTTTGGAGCTAATAAAGCAGACGCATGACGTGCCGTTTTGGTCCTACCACAGTCTTGCCTGTATCTCTTTTTATCTCATCTCCCAAATCTTCTGTCTCTCAACTCCCCTCTCTCTGACCCCTTACCAAGTCCTGGAGCTAATAAACGAGGCGGAAGACGTGCCGTTTGGGTCCTATCTGGTACAGACTTGCCTGTATTTCTTGTACCACTCAAATTTTCCAACTTTCAATTCCCCCATGGCTTCCCACCAGGTGCTGGAGCTAATAAACCAGGCGCATGACGTGCCGTTTGGGTCCTAACTGGTACAGTCGTGCCTGTATCGCTTGTATCTCTCAGATCTCCCGACTCCCAACTCTCAACTCCACTCAAACCAGGTGCTGGAGCTAATAAACCAGGCGCACGACGTGCCGTTTGGGTCCTACTTTGAGGTGAGGCGAGTGGTGTGGTGTGATAATATTCGAACAGTCTTGTTGGATCCGCCGCCTGACCTGTGACTGCCTATGGCGGGCGTTGGCGTCATGTTCTCCATTCTAAAACCAGGGGTAAAGCGTAACAACGTGTCTGTTTTTACCTTCCTTTCTTATGCTTCTTGCCCAGTTTTAGAATGGAAAATATGGCGACAATGCCCGCTGTAGGATGTCACAGGTCGGGCGGCGGACCCAGCAAGGCCGTGGAAGGCTTTGAGCACCTTAAAACAAGGGATGAAATTTGTGTTGGCTCTTTATACTGGAGTTTATATCAACCCTTTTGTTCTTTTCTGTGGTTTTCAGGTGCATGCACAGTGGACGGTCAGAACGACTTCCGACAACCCCGAGAGCCCATCGTGCAGTGCCGAGCTCAAAGCAGGTCGGTGGTCGTGGCTTTTCAGTCGAGTCAAATGTCTCCCTGTGAGGCAACTCCGATAACCCCGAGAGGTCGTTTTGAAGTGCTGAACTTAAAGCCGGTCGGTGGTTCTGCTGTTTGGCTTCAACTCAAAAGTCAACAGCTGTCCGGTTTCAGTCTGTTTGTGTCCTTTTGCATTGTTGTGTTCTGGCTCTGAACTTTGTGGCGCATGCTGTGTGGTTCTTGCATGGTGCATGCTGCTTGGTGCATGGCGTGTGGTACATTGCATTTGTAGCATAGTTGCACAAGTGCGTACCAATAAGGAGTCGTCTAAGGAAAGTTATGCCAGGGGGAAGGGACAGGATTGACCTGCATTGAATCTTATTGACATTTCTGTGCATCAATGACTGTGCGTGTGTGAATTGCAGGTGTGCATTTCAAGAAGTGGTGCATGATGCAAGGGAAGATCCGGCAGGGAGAACGGACAGAAATGACTTGCATTGACTTGTGTTGACATTTCTGTGTATCACTGTCTGTGCGTGTGTGAATTGCAGGTGTTCACTTCAAAAAGTGGTGCATGATGCAAGGGAAGATCCGGCAGGGAGCGCAGGCAGAGGTGAGTGCATGTGGTGTCCTTCCCTGTTGTTCTTAGCAACTTCTGAGGTAACTTATGAGGCACATGTGTCATCTTCACTCCATCTTTGATATCATTGCCGCAGATTATTTCTTAAAATTCTCAAAATTATTCTGCAGCTTGTGAGGCACTGGCAATGACATACATTGCAGAGCGCACACAGAGCGGTAACCAGCCGGCCAATTGTAACGCCGATGCTGGTTACAAGGGAGTCTCACAAATTGCCTCCCTCTCATCCCTCCTTTTCATCACCCCGTGCAGATGAAGAGGAACAGCCAAGTGATGATGGAGATGGCAATGACACACATAGCATAGCAGACACAGAGCGGTAACCAGCCGGTTGATTGTAACACTGGTACTGTTTACATAGGAGCCTCACATATTTCCTCCCTCCTTTCTCTCCTTCCCATTATCCCATGCAGATGAAGAGGAACAGCCAAGCAATGATGGAGATGGCAATGACATACATAGCTGAGCGCACACAGAGCGGTAACCAGCCTGCCGATTGTAACGCCGATGCTGCTGCTGGGAACGGTGGGGCTGATAGCAATGTTGATAATGGGAAAGGAAACGGGGGCGGTGTGAAAAAGGAGGGAGCGGAAGCAGGGGGGATGGAAGGAAGGGAGAATGTGATTGCACTTAGTGGTGATAGCAGAAGACAAGCAAGTGTAGACACAAAGCCAGGGTAGCTACACTTGCAACTTTGTGGTTTGAGGATAAGAGCTATTATGCGTTGGTTGAGTTGTGCATCAAACCTTGCCATAAGCCTCTCAACCCCTGTAAATATTTGCTCGAGAAAGATGATGGTTTCTTTCATTATTTTGAGTCTCTAGTTCAGGATGGTGCTTCTTATGGTTGTTTATGAGTATCTAGTTCATTATTCTTAGACTCTATTCAGAACGTTATGTATGAAGCAAGGCATCCAACCACGACAGGCACAATACCTTGCGACCGAAGCACGTTATACCGGATTCGTTCCTCCGTTACCGAGTATGCTACAATTCTATTGAAGGCTAGCCTGCACCCTACTGATGGAGCCTCGAGATTAGCGTGTCGCGGTGGCCGTTACTCTGCTTGTGCGACGCGATCACGCGTCAGCCTTCGAATCGCAGCAGTAGCGCCGCGTCGCAGCAGTCGATTTTAGAGTCTAATGTGCGCCACTGATGGGATGCCATAGCTGATAGAAAGTTCTGGGAGCGACTCATCGTTAGCGCGTGATCGTTCGGGCAGTCGCGAAACAAAGGGGCGGGAATCAACCGCCTGAGGTCGATTTCCCGCTTGTGGAGTCGCAGCAGGAAGCGACAGTGCTTCGCCGCGGCACCCCTGGCGTTATACTCGTTATAACGCACCTCAGTATTTGCTTGGAAAAGAAATTGTTAAAAAGCAGCCTTGGGAATGCCGACGCCGTACGCGCGAGAGCTGGCGTGTGGGATCGTGAAGGACCACTTTGGCGACCAGGTGGAGGTGCGTCCAGGTGTTACCTGGGGGAGGTGCATTTAGATGTTACCTGGAAGAGGTGCATCCTGGGAGATGTGCATTTAGGTGTTATCAGGACCACAGTGTGAAGGACCACTTCGGGGACCAGGTGGAGGTGCGTCCAGATATCACCTGGGGAAGGTGAAGCCAGCTTTATCTGGGGAAGGGGGCATCCAGGTGTAACCATACCACTTTGGTGACCAGGTGGAGGTGCGTGCAGCTGCTGCTCCCTGTGATGGCCCTCTTCCTCCTTTCAATTCCCTATTCCTCCTCCTCTTCGATTCCCCACCCCTCCTCCACAACCCCCCTCTCCCCCATGCAGACATTATGCTGCACGCAGCACGCTATCAGGAAAGGGCCAGCTCGGCCTGTCTCTGCAGGACCTTGCCCGCTTCACGCCCTCCGTCTCTGCAGGATTTCTTTGAAATCCTTCACCCACCTTCCCTCCACACCCACCAGACGGTATGCCGTACGCTACCAGAGAAGGAACAGCTGGGCTTGTCTCTGCAGGACCTCGCCCGTTTCACCGCCCTCCATTTTTTCCCCTGTTCCTGCATCGTTTTTGTTCACTATGCCTCCTCTTTTTCCATGCAGACAGTATGCCGCACCTTATTAGAAAATGGCCAGCTCGGCCTGTCTCTACAAGACCTCGCTCGCTTCACCACGCTTCCCTGACTTCCCCTGTTCCTCCTTCTTTGCATGATCCCTCCTTACCCCTCATAACAGACGGTGTGTCGCACTCTATTGGAGAAGGGCCAGCTCGGCCTGTCCCTTCAAGGCCTCGCCCGCTTCACCGCTCTCCTTCCCCCCAATCCATTTTCCTGTGCCCTCCTTACCCCTCATAACAGACGGTATGTCGCACTCTATTGGAGAAGGGACAGCTGGGGCTGTCTCTGCAAGACCTTGCCCGCTTCACCGCCCTGCCTCTCCCCTCGCTGCGTTCCGCTCTCCTGGTGCTCGTACAGCACAACTGCGCCCAGGCCTTTCGGCCGCAGACTGAAGGTAAGCCAGGGGAAAAGGTTCTGGGTTTACCGTCTCCACGCTTTCCTTCTCCCTCAGGGTTCAGGGTGCAGGGTTTCCTTCCTCTCCCCTTCCTCTCCCCCCTCGCGCCGCTCCACGCTCCTGGTGCTAGTACAGCATAACTGCGCACAGGCCTGTAGGTTTAGACGGTCAGCCAGGGCTATTCAAAGTGTCAGGTTGCCTTCCTTGCTCCGTACCTACCTCCCTCACGTTCCTCTTCCCATGCCCCTTGGTCCCCCCTGATACTACTCCATACTAGTCCCCTTGCCCGCACGCCCACGCTCGGCATCGCTCTTCAGGACTCCATCCTGCCTCGCCTGCCGTTTGACTTACTTATGGCTCCCTTTCCCCTTCCCTTCCCCAATCCCCCTTGTCCTCACCTCCAGACACCGGTCCCCTGGCCCGCGTGCCAACCCTCTACATCTCTCTTCAAGACTCCATCCTGCCTCGCCTACGCTTCCCCAAGTTCATGGCTCAGACGAACGAACTATTAGGAGATGAGGTGAGTGGGTGGGAGTGGGATGGAGAGGAGTGGAATGAGGTGGAGTGGTTGGAAACATCGGTTAGGCGTGCCACTCCATCCTGCCTCGCCTGCGCTTCCCCAAGTTCATGGACCAAACAAACGAACTATTGGGGGATGAGGTGGGTGGGTGGTGTGCGGTGGAGTGGGGTGGAATGAGGTGGAATGGTTGGAAGCGTAGGTTGAGCATGCCACCCATCCTGCTCGCCTGCGCTTCCCCAAGTTCATGGCGCAGACGAATGAATTATTAGGAGATGAGGTGTGTTGGTGGAGTGGGGTGGAGTGGGGTGGAGTGGCAGCATCCTGCCTCGCCTGCACTTCTCCAAGTTCATGGCGCAGACGAACGAGTTACTGGGGGAGGAGGTGGGTGGGTAGAGTTTGGTGGAGAGGGATGGAGTGCTTGGAAGAGTGGTTTAGGGACGCCACTCCATCCTGCCTCGCCTGCGCTTCCCCAAGTTCATGGCTCAGACGAACGAGCTGTTGGGAGATGAGGTGGGTGGGTGGTATACGGTGGAGTGGAGTGGTGGGTGTGTTAGGAGTGGTGTAGGCGTGTGTTAAGTATGGTACTCCATCCTGCCTCGCCTGCGCTTCCCCAAGTTCATGGCGCCGCAGACCAACGAGCTGCTGGGAGACGAGGTGGGTGGGTGGCGTGGGGTAAAGTGGGGTGGAGTGGGGTGGAGTGGGCGGAATCGTTGATTCATGTGTGGCACCATCCTGCCTCGCCTGCGCTTCCGCAAGTTCATGGCGCAGACGAACGAACTATTGGGAGACGAGGTGGATGGGTGGTGTGCGGTGGAGTGGGGTGGAGTGGAATGGGTTAGGTGTGGTGTGCCACTCCATCCTGCCTCGCCTGCGCTTCCCCAATTTCATGGCTCAGACAAACGAACTATTAGGAGATGAGGTGGGTGGGTGGACTGCGGTGGAGTGGGGTAGAGTGGAGTTGTGCGGATGGAAGCATGGGTTAGGCATGGTGCTTCATCCTGCCTCGCCTGCGCTTCCCCAAGTTCATGGCACAGACGAACGAGCTGCTGGGGTATGCGGTGGTCGATTGGTGAAGGGTGGGAGGAGGGTGATGGGCAGAGGCAATGGATAGATAGGACTCTTTTGAAGCCCGGTCCCCTTTCCCCATCCGCTCCTACCCTCCAACCCCCCCTTTCCGCCTCCCCTCCCTTTCCCCCTTTTCCCCCTTCCCTCCACTCCACTCTCCCTCAGGCAGAGGCAGAGGTGGAGGCTATTTGAGAACACGGTCGTCTGTCACACCACAGTTCCCTTGATACCCAACCCCCCCCCCACTCCTCCTCCTGCAACCCCTCCAACACACACCTCTCGTCAGGCAGAGGCAGTGGTAGAGGCTCTTTTGGAGCATGGCCGCTTGTCACTGCATCAACTAGTGCAACGATCACACCGCACACACATTTTAGTTGATGCCCCATTTACACCTTCCCTTTCCCCCTCCCTTCCATAACACCCCTCGTCAGGCAGAGGCAGTGGTGGAGGCTCTTCTAGAGCACGGTCGCCTGTCACTGCACCAGCTCGTGCAGCGATCAGTGGCAAAAGCTGGCTCGTCTGATCCCACTGCTGCCAAAAGTAAGTATGCACGTGTCCTGACTGGTTAGAAGAAGGCTGAGGGGTATGTGGTGTAACCAACTGGTGGAGGCTCTTTTAGACCACGGCCGGCTGTCACTGCATCAGCTCGTGCAGCGATCCGTGGCAAAAGCTGGCTCATCGGACCCCTCTGCTGCAAAGAGTACGTATGTACAGGTGCCTGAGAGAATGCATGTGGTTTGGTGTGGTGTGGTGCGGTGTATGTATGCACGGCACGGACGTCTGTCCCTCCACCAGCTCGTGCAGCGATCAATGGCGAAAGCTGGTTCCTCTGACCCCTCTGCTGCCAAAAGTACGTAGCCCGAGAGTGTGCATCAGTAGCAAAAGCTGGCGCGTCCGACCCCACTGCTGCAAAGAGTAAGCATCTTGTTGCTTGACTGCCTAATAATTATGTATGTCTGTTTTGAGCCGCCTCAAGAGCAAATGTTCCTTTCTTGATTATTTTGTTATTCTTCGTTTCCTTCATCTTCTTCTCCTTTTCACATTCATTTGCTCGCCCTGATGTTTCTGCAGCCGAGGGTCAGGTTCGGCAGCAGCTGGTGGCGGCGCTGTCAGTGCTGATCCAAGAGAGGCTTGTCGAAAGGGTCGGGGCCCCCGAGCCTATGCTGCCGGCTCGGGGAGCAAGCAGCGGCGGCGATGCTCCCAAGCCTGCCTCACGTGCTCGAGTGGTGAGTCCACTTTCTCTCTCCTGACGCTCTTATTTTTCTCACTGCAACCAGAGGGTATTTTCAATTGAACCTGACCTGTTGTTGGGGTTTAGGACCTCCCTTCTCTTCCTGCCTTCTCTTCCTTCCCCTCTCCCCCATTCTGTATCTTCTCCTCATCCCTCTCATCCCTATTCTGGCTAGGTGACTCTTAAGAGCATTGAGTGGTACTTGCACCTCGCTGCACCCACACTCGCTCTCGCTCCTGTTGTGGTTTCCATACTCGGCCCTTGTTCTTCCAACCTCCTCCACCGTTTTCCCGTCCCTTTACCTTCCCTTCAGCGCACGAGGGCAATGACGGAGTCGTCTGGCTACTTTGACTCGGAGGAACACCGAGTGGTTGTTGCGTTGCAGCGCACCGCACCCACAGTCACTCGCTCCTGCCATGTTTCCCCCGTTGCTCTTTCAGCGCACACGAGCAATGATGGAGTCTTCAGGCTACTTTGACTCGGAGGAGCACCGAGTGGTCGTGGCAGCGCGCTGCAGTGACGCCCTTCGCTTCCAGCTGCCAGCTTCCTGGGTGCCGTCGGGTGGTGATAGCGGTGGTGGCGCTGCTGGTGCTGCTGTGGATGGGGGTGGAGGGGCGGATGGGGGAATAACAGCAGCAACAGCGGCAAAGTTGAAGGTGAGCTGTCAGAATGGGTAGCCGCGTTGTTGCATGGTGTGGTCGTTGCTGCGCACTGCAGATGGGGGAATGACAGCAGCAACAGCGGCAAAGTTGAAGGTGAGCTGTCAGAATGCTGCTGCAGTGACATTCCCGCATCCGTTCAGAATGGGTAGCGGCGTTGGTGCAGGGTAGTCTGTTCGTGGCAGCGCGCTGCAGTGACGCCCTGCGCTTCCAGCCAGCTGCCCGCCTCCTGGGTGCTAAGTTGAATGCGGGAATGACAGCGGCAGCAGCAGCTAAGTTGAAGGTGAGCATTCAGAATTGCGCGTCACTGCTCTTTCCAACAGGTCCTCCTGATTCAGGTGCAGGAAGCAGCACCAAGTGGTCGTTGCAGCCCGCTGCAGCGATGTCCTGCGCTTCCAGATGCCCGCTTCTTGTGCGCTTTCAATACTGGTACCACCTCACAGTGGGGCAAGCGGGGCCCTGCTTGCCCCACTGACCTGCAATGGGGATGGCAGCAGCAGCGGCGGGGATGGCAGGAGCAGCGGGGGGGGGTTTGCAGGTGGAGGGAGGGGAGAAGCGAGTTTTCTAGACAATGCTATGCCCCTTCTTCCCATGTTCTCGTCCTCACTTACTTGCAAAGGAGGCGAGTGGTCCTGGATGACAATGACGACGAGGAGGAGCAAGCGGGGCCGATTGCCAAGCGGCCTCCATGGGTAACCCCACACAGGGTGTCTGTGTGTCCGCTTTCTGCCTTCTTCCCCACTCTACACTTGCAGAGGAAGCGAATGGTCTTGGATGACGACGAGGAGGAGGAGGAGGAGGAGGAGCAAGCGGGGCCCAGTGCCAAGCGGCCTGCACTGGTACCCACCCCCACACAATGTGTTTCCCGTCTTCCCTTATTCTCTGCTCCTCACTTACTTGCAGAGGAAGCGAGTGGTCTTGGATGTTGACGATGATGAGGAGGAGGAGGAGCAAGCAGCCTGCAACAGGGGTGGCACCACACAATGTTTCCGCTTTCTGCCGATGCACTGCAACCCACCACAATTCCTTGGCAGAGGAAGCGAGTGGTCTTGGATGATGACGATGAGGAAGAAGAGCAAGCGGGGCCCAGTGCCAAGCGGCCTGCAACAGGGGTGGGTGGCGCCGCAGGTGGAGGGGAGAAGCAGGGAGGAGGGGAGGACGCTGGTGTGCTGTGGCGGGTGAACTATGAGGAGTTTCTCAGGAGAACAAGACACCAGGTGGGTTCAGGTGGTTTTCAGGTGGGTTTCAGGTGGAAAAAGAACATTGCTCATCCAATTTCCACCCCTCCGTTCACCCATCTCAGCCACTCTTCACCCCTCTCTGTACCCCTCTCCACCAGACCAGTGGACTTTGTGCAGGAGAGCATCGACCCATCATCACTGCTGCCCTGGTCCCTTAGAGTCACTTATGAGATACCTCAACATATTTTCCACACCCATCTCCACCGCTCTTCACCCCTCTCTACCAGACCATTGTGGACTTTGTGCGAGAGAGCATCGACCCAGGCGCTTCCATCATCACTGCCGCACTGCTCCATGCTGGAAAGAACCAAGAAACTTCCCTGCGACACCCGTACTCAGGTAGTGTATGTCATTCCCGAATGGTAGTTTTTACTCCCTTGAATTCCATCGAATGAGCCATATGCCATTGGTCCTTCGAGTATGA